TATAAGTAAGATCATCATAACATAAGGGATGGGATGCGCCTATAAGGAAAACGGGGTTTATATCAACCCAGTTAAATCCTCTTGCATTCTACTCTTTACCGACAACTCATACATGTGAGTAGTATGACACTTTTAATTTAGTAAGAGTTAAACACTATCAGCACTTGAGTGGCGTTTTGAGAAAAAAAGGTGTAGATTTTGTCAATTTTTCATAACAGCATGTTTTTGCCCAAAACGACTTGCCACATTTATGACAATGCCGGATCTAAACTCTACATGCTTTTATCATGGTATATACATCATGAAAAAAACTCAAAAGCGTGTTTCTCTTGCATATCCGAACAGCTGCGAGGTCATGCTCAAGCAATCGTTTGCTGTAAAAAAACTATTGAAAGTATTGTGCTAAGGACTGAGACAACCATAGATATCCGAAAATGGAGTTCTCTTTTTGTTCTACTAATTCAAGGAGTTGACAGAATCGGCAATCATAAGACACCGCATAAGTACTGATACGAAAAAGGTCAAGAATAACTAAATCTTTGGGTCGATTCAAGATACACATTGTTCAAACTCCATAAATTCTATAATTCTATAAATCGTAAGCGTATTTAAGCTGATTTTATATTGATGGAAATATCTCTTACTCTGAACAATTGGATAAAGACTAGAGATTTCTTTGATTTGCATCAGGACTGCAAAAAGGGTTATCCAAACTTATAGGTCCACTGTGTAAGGTGAAACGGATGCTAGACGAAGGAACATGCGGTCACAGACCTCATATGCGGACGAGGCATCATTGAGAATTTGCTATAGGTTTATTACAGAATAAATCTCTGTCTATCTTGCTTCCTACACAAATCCCAACTGAATATGTTCGTAAAAGCAGTTTTATATACCTGCAGTTTGTAGTGCTCTATAAGTTCAGCAAGTAAGATCCACTTTGATTCATTCCCATATATTGGAGCTACGCAAACGGAAAAAAAGTGGTCTGGCTCTGAAACTCCTGCTCCCAAAACAATTAAGGAACAAACCAAATGAATTCTGCATTCATGAACATTATTACCTGCTTGTGTCCGATCAATAATTGGCACTGGAAACTCATACGGTCCCGACGGCGTATCTGACAAAGACATGAACGCGGCCCCGTCTCGTCGTAGGCAATGTACGTTGTATTCAGGAAATACCACGCTTTTGAAAGCTTTGCGTAGTTCACTTCGGTTTCTGTCGAAATAGCGACAGTATACCATATCCCTAAATTTTAGAAAAAAATTGCTTGGAGCTGGATGCGCTTAGAGTTGCATTTTGCAATCAAACTGAACAACCTTTTTTGTTTGAAAAAGAATAACAAAATTTAATGCTGAAATGCAGCCGCGTCAATTTTTTAAAACTTACTAGGCTGTAGCTCCATGAAGGGAGTGCTTTAGTAATAAGAAAAACTTTCTACCTCTTTCAAGCATAGTGTTATTTTAACTAAGAAGCAATGCATAGCCAAAGTGTTCTTCTGCTGTGAATTGCTTAAATTGAAATTATCTTAACTGAATTTAGTTTCTTAACATTCATGTTTGATTCAGCCGCTTAATGTTTCTCAATTATTTCATAGTTTCTTGTG